TTCACAGTAGTGCAAATTCATAGCCCAATTTTTTTCAGAGTTCTGGCACTTCAATTTAACTCATTCGCTACGTATTATTTTCGGCTTGTAGATGAATTTCTTTCGGGAGGGCGAAATGAGATGATGACTAGTGCGCAGTTCACAGGTCTTGGGGGCCATAAATTCAAATAAATATCAACATATTATATACCAACATTTTCAGTACGGTTTGTAGAATACATCTGTAATGTTTATTTGAGTATTTTTCAACTTTGGTTCCTGTAAGAGGTTTTTATGCAACACAATTGTGATTGGTTGCGGATAAAATTTGAAAACAAAAAATTTATAATCTCAGATGAAACTCAAAAAATATGTTTGCACCTAGTCAAATTATACATCAAAATAACCATAACTGTATATAGAACAGGAGAATATTGAAAAATGAGCAGTTATTTACATACATTCCATAATATTTGTACATTTGGATCGTAACCTCCGATATTGAAAAAAATATTTTTTTAAAATAACTTTGAAAAAAGGATCCCAAACAGAAAAAAACCACTCATATCTTATATAGAATTATTCAGAATTGCATTTGGAATAAACCTATACATGTCTTGGGTGGTACTTTTTGAGTAAATTCACCAAAAAGTAGTGATTTTGTGGAGAAAAAAAATATTTTGACTATTTAGATCTAGGCCTAGATCTAGCACTCAAAAATATTGATTTCTCAATTACAGTGCACTGGCAATTTGAGTCCAGTAGTATCAATATTATAAGAAGAGCCCTACACTTCTTTAGTGAGCAAAATAATGATACATTTTGTTGTGTAAAAGTACAAAGACTGGTGTCTGGCTATAATTTGGGCTTCGCGATAAAACAATGTCGCATAAACTTCGAAATCCTGTTTCAAAACTGAATCAAAACTTCCGATTTTCGGTGGAAACACTTGACCCGGAAGTGAACTTTATATTATGACCTTTATTATGGATATGTGGATTGGAATAGAAACCAAGCTAAAATTGAACGTCAGTTCTCGAGCCGCCGGGGGCGGCTTTGCGTACTGACGGCACTCTAGCCGCTCCGCCCCCCACGGCTCGGCGTAGCGAATGAGTTAATCAGTTATGGAACCACAAAAAAGGGAAAACTGCCAATTTTGCGTTATAAACAGAAAATCACAACACGGTACACATGGCCTAAACACTTTTCAGAATAAAATCACCTAAAATCATGGTAAATGTCTGAAACTTTCTATGTGAATGTACTTTTGGACCAGGAATCCATTTCTGTGATAACATGAAGCATTACAATGATATGAGGTTAGATAAGAGAAAAAATAAGAAATCATTCGGCATAATTTCAACAAAATCATCTATAACTTCTATAGAACAAGAAAGACGCCCCAAAGCTCTACTCCTATGTGTTTTTGGGCCAGGAATCCATTTCTGCAATCAAATCTGAGATAAAATGAGGCATTAATAAAGTAAATATTCAACAATGACAGATCAGATACACAAACACACACAAAAACTCAATTTACTTTTTTTTAAATTGGAAAGAATCTCCAAACAATTTTTTTTCAAAAATATAAAAAATTGGGCAGAAGCTCCCGCCCAGGCGGAGCCCATTTTCGTTTCAAAACGAAGATTTTTTTCCAAAAATATAAAAATTGTGCAGACCCTCCCGAACGGGCAGAGCCCATTTTCAAATCAAGGGCAAGGACAATTGGGGAGAGGGTGGAGGAGACACAAGTTAGATCTGCAACAAAGTTCAAATTCCCCATGGCTCATTAATCTAAAAAAAAATTGGGTCTATTCAGGAATAGATCTAGCAATTCTAAGGGTACCGACTTATTTCATAATCACGAATTATTATGAATGAAGCTCTCGAGTAGGAGAGTCCATTTTCAGCAGTAAACTAGCCTCTAAAAGTTGTATAAAAAAATAATTCAATTGGTGCCGGTACTTGTTTCATGAGTCTAAATAGATATATTGGCTAAAAGAAAACAATTAAATGAATTAGTTATGAAAGACTTTGTCAGATATTTGCGATAATCAAGAGAATATATTCATTCATCAATGAACAAATGCCAGCTGCACCCCCTTCACAGACGAGTTCATCAAGCTTGGTATGATCTTTAAAAAGAGGTCACCATTACGGAATCATCGATAGAATGAAATGGTCACGTGACCAGAAAATAACACGAATTTTTAATGACTAAAAACAAATTGATTTAGATTTCACTATATTTTCAAGAAATTTAAGCTTCTTATCTTTCTATCCAAACCAGATTTATAACAATACTGGGTACTGAATTAATTACAGGACGTTCTGAATGAGACCACCCGTTCGCATGTTTGCGATCTCGGCTTCAAGCCCTAGCTAGATCTAGGTCAGGCAAAGGTTGATGACTTTATGAAGAACTATGTAACACTATAACAATCTAATTAACAAAATCAACTTATCGCACATCTCCTGAATATCCCTATCCATGATTGGAAGCACAATGCATCCCTTGATATGCACTTATGTACGTGGATAGAGTGTAATCGAAAATAGGTAGTGTACGTAAATAATTCTTCGCCATTGCTGAATCAAGCGCGTCGCCAGAGATGGGACCAGCATGTGTGTTTACAAAAACAAGCGGCGCTAAACGGCGGCCAGACCAATCGTAGTCATTTTTGCACATGATTCCCTTGACATGTTCTACTTTTCAGTAGACCAGGGTTCTTTTGACCAATCATTGGTCAGACTTGGAGATTTCCATTCTAAAAATAGGTTCCAAAAGTCCCGATATTTCTGGGTCAACAACTAACTTTAGCAACAAGCACTTGGTACCGGGTGAAAGCTTATTCAAAGCTCGTTCTTGCACTTTTTGTTTCATGGCGATAGCAGTTATATCCGCTTAGCGCGAAGGCTTTTTATAAAGCACCCTAAATTTTTGTCGTCGCGGCCGGCATGAAAAATGATGCGAAAAACGCATTCCCGTGCATTTCGGTGACCTTTTTCGATAGCTTACTATACAATACGTCGTTCCGTACTGTCCTCAATAGTTTGATTTTAGCTAAAAACAATGGTTGAACTGACTTAGTTCGAAACGGGGTGAAGATTGGTGTCAAATTAGAAGAGTTATGGTTGATTAAAAATGACCAAATTTCGAGCTTCCTACACATTTTCAACTGCGCAGAGGCGGGGGTGTGTGGTACCTAACTAAAGCAACGACAACGGCCGTATGTTATCTTGTTAGCGCAGTTACATGTAGTTGTGTAAGGGTTAGAACGACTATCGCTCGTCTGAGTGTTTGATGTGAACGCGCAGTTACCAGACCTCGGACAAGGCTTGTCTTGAAAGTAACAGCGGAACTTCGAATATTATCGATTATTTGTATGTCCCAAATTGTAACAGTTACCAGGCTATCATTGGAGAATTCTGAGTGTGGGCAAAGATCACACACAACTTGGGGCGAGTCAACTACTAAATGCGGCATCGATATTTCGAGAAATAGTGCTCAGAGTTCCTACTGACAAAAAGTTCAACCGATGCTTCCCGCGATAAAGGAGAAGACAGAGTAAGTTTTTAGAAAAATTCGGCACAACAGCAGACTGGGACAAAAATCGGGATACATGCGATCGAAATCGGGAAAATCAGGATGCTTGAGATTTGGGGCAAAAAATCGGGATATCCCGATTAAATCGGGATGAGTGGCAGGTCTGTATATACACAAACACACACACAAACAAGTATGTAGCCAACATTATATATGTATCCAGTCAACAAAATTTCAGTGAGGAACTGGAGTCTAGTGTGACTTACGTATTTCAGTCTGTTCTTGTTTGTTATATATTTTCTTATTTATATTCCCCTCCTCATCATTTTATATAAAACATATAAACTATATTATACAAATGAATCCTGCTTTGAGCTTATGAAAGGGCCTAAACCAGAAAATCGACAGTCAAGAACCAGTCTTGGTGTCATGATTCATATTATAAACCTGAAAGACAAAAATTATTGCTCAAACTCAAAGTAGAGTAAAAACTCAAATGGCTCAAGTAGACCTATTCAGTGCGAGAGTTGTAAGAACTGAGAAAGGTCAAGATGCAGTGACACTGAAAATAAGCCAATCTTTAACAGAAAGCTAAAAACATAATTATAGTTTTAATTTACTATCGCCCATCCAATGAAACGCAAACACTTTAGTTCATCAATAACAAGGCTTACAAGATATGGCGGATCCCGATTCCACACACAGCCGGCACCAAAGCGCGCTTGCAGTGAGCTCAAATAAAAAGAAAAATTATAAAATTTGCTTCCAAGTTTGTTATCCTCTGGTGTTGCCTTCCACACTCTCCCCACCGAGAGTATCTTTTTTAAAGAATCATTAATATAATCCCCCCCCCCCCCCCCGACTTATATGCTTCCAAACGCTCACAATTTGAATTTACTTTGGCGACCCCAACTACCCCCGGTACTCGCACAATGTGCCTTATCTTGTGACGCGAACACGTGCAGGTTCACTGACCGGTCACGATGACAAGGCCGACAAGCTCACAATCGGACGACGCTTTTCTTTTTTCACAAGTGACAGCACAGAGACAAAATTTGATTTATTTTCATGGTGACACAGCCTTTATAGTGCACGACCTGCATGTCACAAAATGTTGCGTTACCAGTCTATCACAGGCCAAATTTTGGGTGGTAACAAAAGCAAAAGTAGAGTTGATATTCCCGATTGAGCAACAGTGTCACGTGCTTCCGCATGCTGCAATAGACGCCTGTTTGCGTAAAATGTACCGTCAGACTGGGAAAAGCACAACGAATATCACAATCGCGACCGGCAAAAATTAACTTGCCGACCATATCGGAATTTGTTTTCAAATATTTCAGAACTTTATACATTTTCCGGGGGTAATTTACAGATTTCCTCAAATTCCCGGTTCTCCGCGATTTTTATCAAATTCCTGAGGCCTGGCTAGTCACCCTGTTTTTACTAGTTACCTAGTTTCTGACTCATTTTTTCGGCTATTCGAATTTTTTAATACTAGGCACCCATTTATTCAGATTTTTTAAAAAATGAATAGTACCCAGCCCTACCAAAAGTACTGGTGTCGGCCGTCGGCAGACATATTTTTTAAAACCGGAAATTTGTTGCACGCCGACGAAATAAAAATTACTGTCATGTAGCCGGCTATGGAAGACTTGCCCAGCCGGTGGAGCCGGAGGGAGGCCCGAAGATGAGTTCAAATAGGAGCCGAAAAACTTTCACCCTTGACACACACACACAAGCACACAGTGATTGATGAAGTGAATGAACATTATTGATAACCATTCCTGGGGCTGCCATTTTTACCATACCACTAAAATTAAAATGAGCAGGAGAAAAAATTTAGTTATGTCCCTTGATTTTGCCTAAAGCTGAGCTTCGAATGAGTTGCTCTTTTTGTCACTACCCTGAAGACATCAACTCATCCGTATTTAACTGTCTGTGTGTGTGTGTGTATGCGTTCATATTCTGCAGCTGAGGAAGTGTTGTGGTAGCCAAGAGGGAAAGACATATTATAATTATATTGGATGATAATCATAGCGAGAGGTGGTTGGTTCAGAAATCGGGTTTTCCCTTTCCTGCTTCTGTCTCCTCTTCCTCCGTGCCCCATTCCTATCGGGAGCAGTCCGGAAAAAATCCTGTACAGCATGTCGATAGTCCAGGGCTGTCGTTTCTTTCAAATGAGGATTTCTGCGAATGGCTCCTGCAGGAGAAGCACAGAAATACTTTTTTAACCAGAAAATCAGAGTAATTTGACAATGTTAGAAAAATTATATACAGCAGTCTTCACCTAAGAATAAGATCTCAGTGCTCGGGAGCAAAGAAAATATGGGATCTCACGCGAATGGGATCTTAGCCGATGCACCAAGGGAAGAACCTACAGTGACCTACGTTCAGGGTCACAAACGGTAAAATGGTCTTAATTCACTCCAAAATGAACTGACATAACCCCAGGGTGGTATAGGACATATAGTACACAAAGAGTGGTCAACTTTGATGACCAATCACAGTGGCATGAGACATGCCATTTACACCTATTACCCTAACATGAGTCTCAAGATCTATGCTTATCCATTTGCCACTCCCCTTTACCTGTCCAAAATCTATAGCTTTCCATCTTTGACCCAGTTCCCCCGTCTTTGCCATTGCGCACCATTACTTTGTGACTCCACCAATTAAAATTGAGTCTGTCTCTTGTTTGATCGGCTGTGCCTGGCCAGATATTTGTTCCTTAAATTATTATCTGGAAAGTGCGATCTTAACCGAATGTATACCATCAGACTCAGAGTGAATCAGAGCGGGATCTTAGGGGTGACACTTGTATGGTAAAAATTCTGTTGTTCTTTTTTAAAGCTCCATACGATGTGGGAAACTCTGTATCACCACTTTCCAAAGAGGAAATTTACTCGTTCATCCAATCCCTATGCTTTGCATAGAAGTCTGTAAAGATGATTTTTTGAGAAATACTAAAAGTTTCAAAGAGATCTTCGTAGTAAAAGTATTTTAAAATGTGAAGAATACAACCCCAGGGGTACAAAATGACCCCCCCCCCCGGAGTACGGATAGGGTTAAGAATAGAAAAAAGAAAAGTTCAGTAACTTTAATAATTTTGTTCACACTGGTATTGGTCACAGATTCTCTAATAAATATATGTACATCAGTGATGAGGAAAAAGACAGATCTTTCTTTTGTTACTACACAATTTTATTTTTTCTTTTAAAATAGTTACGTTACAAAGCAATTTTTGCTGTTTCCAGTTGTCATATGGTTGTGGACACAGCTTATTCTTTGTTAACTTTCAAAAGAAAAAACGTAATAAACCCTCTATCATGGCCAATAAATATAATCATTTCCATTTCTCATGGCCAATGGTCAAGCAGTTTGTATCTGAGAGCAAGAACAGACAGATATAATAGAAACTCATTCACACCAACTGCAGTGAGGTTATTGAAAACAGTGCTACACACACACACACACACACACACACACACAC